CACCTTTGTAATCCACGGACCAAAGTTCTCACCATCATCGGCGCCCAACACGACCACGATGCTCCTACTGGTTCTTTCTCCGTCCTTTGGTCTTGTAACCCACGAAGTTCTGAAACATCCAAATTCGTAGCCATAGATGTAGGTCGCCTTAATGGATGTCCCAGAGCCCCTTGGTCAAAGTGCATAACTTCCAGCAGGTTGTGCGACACCCACTGTCGAAACCACTTGTGTAACCACACAGTAGAACTCTCGTCCTCCTGCGACTGGGAGGAAGCCCATATACACATTGCCACGTCATCGTTCGGAACATCCATAGACTCGCACATGATCTGACGCCCCATCCTTGCAACCTCGTTGATCACCACAACTCTCAAAGCATGCTCAAAGGAGTTGTTGCGAGGCACTGAAGTGAATGTCCCAGCCACGCGCCCGGTTGCTGCACCCCACAACATCAGCGTCATGATGCCTTTGTTGGTATCCAGCATATCCAGCTGCGTCCACCTCAAAACATCCACATCCAAAACCATCGTTCCATTGTTCTCGAAGCTCTTGAACATCTTGTCTATGGGGGACCTCCTTCCACTGAAGAACCTGATAACCCAGTCCTTGTGCATCATTCGCTTTCGCATCCTCCGGTTGAAACCCAGGGTCATCATCAAGTCCCATGCCTCCTTCTCGCTCTGAGGGATGTCCGAGATGGTCTTTACAAGGTCCTCATTCATAACCTCAGTCGCCCATGGCATAGACGAAATTGCACAGTAACCATCCTCAAACTTCCCCGAGGTCACAAACCTTCTGAGGCTTTTCTCCCACTCAGGGTCCTTTTGCACCTTCATGGCCCGCACCAATATCTGCTTTGACTCCTCAGTCGCCTTCTCGAGCTGTGCTAACTTCTCCTGCTCAATCCTTGCGATCAGCTGCAACGCCAGAGCTTCATTCACCTCGGGACAACCTGACGTCATTTTCAACACCTCCTCACGTCCATCTGGTTTCCGCAACACACATCTTCTCCTTGACCAAATAAGTTCATAGCCTAGTAAGCTGATGAGGTTCCCAACCGGCACGATTGTTTGCGGCCTCCGCCCCGGTCTTTGGGGTTCTGTTAGAAGGGTTCCCGCCTGGTTCTGTCTCATAGTCGTAACTCCATCGCCGGCGATAACCACGTCCACCTCCGGTGCTCCAGGCCACTCCTCTGGCTTGGCCTCTCTCAAGGGATGTGTAGCCCCCGAATCCACCAAAGCCATGCGATTCTCAAATCGCCGCACTGCCTTCTTCAACATCTTCATTGACGGTCCCGGTGTGTTGGGGCCACTCTGCTTATCAGCCATCATCTTTAAGATCTGCGTGGCATTCTTAAGGAAGTCGTCAATCTCCCCCGGGCCCGTTCGTTCGCCTGTCGTTATAGGCGTTCCGGAAGATGTGGCCTCACTGCCTGAGGCTCCCGCAGTCGTAGAAGACGAGCTTGTCGGTTGATGTAGATCACCTCCAGGTACAGTGCCGTCATCTCGCTTTCCTTCAGACCCTCGCGCTCCATTTCCCGCGACGTTCTTGACCCTAGGTGGGTAGCCCCCCTTTCCATCTTCACCTTTTCGTGCGCCATCATAGCCGCTCTTCATAGGGCAATGCTTCTTCATGTGTCCACGAGCTCCACAACCCTTGCATCGCTC